TAGCTGCTCATTTTGGAGTTTTCTTTGTTCCATGTTCCAACACCTGTTGCAATCTCCATAAAATAAATAAAAAAATATAACCGGTAATGTTGAACTTACTGATAATGGTCATAGCAAGTGTGCAAATCCAGGAACTCGATCAATAGGTTTTTAAGAGACATAAGAAACTGTCAAGTGTTTTAACTCACAAGCGTTTAACCAAAAGATTGACCGTAGTTTTTATATGTTCCTGGTGACGGTCATATTTAAACATTTTATTATCATTGTCATATACAGACTGTACTCTCTGACCTAGTCATGTGGCACAGTGATTTATGTACTTGTATCAGTGCAGCCCTATCAATCTGCTTAGATTAACTGAAGAGTACAATTTCTAGGCTTTAATATCAGCAGTTATTCAGCCTTGTTGGTATTTTACTTGTGTAACACAAATAGCCACTAGAGGGAGAACCTTCAAATCTGAAAATGGTCAGAAGCAAAAAAGTATTGTACACTGTTAGCCAGGGTTTAGTTACACATATTGGAAAAAGCAGTACCTTATGGTCCCTACAGACATTGGGTGGTTCTTGCCCAGTTCTACAGGGGTAGGAAAAAAAAAGTCTCTTTGCTGTGTAGGACTTTTTTTCTTTTTGCACACTTGCTATTTTTTTTCTTTTGTTCTGTGTATTTGCTAAATACTTATCCTCCCCTGAATTAATATGTAAAAAATATTCATTTTTTTCAGTTCACTGGCTTTGTGTTGTACAGAACAACATTACCCAGAAACTACAATGATCCTACCACACTTGCTACTTTATTCAATGGAGTTCGTGATCGAGCTTATGTCACTGTTAATGGGGTAAGACTATTTTCTAAAAAAATATATTATTATACTTGCTGGTTTCCCATAGATAAAGTATTAAACATTTGACTTTCATGTTCTTGATGGCAGAGCTACTGCTGATTTGAAAATAAATTTAAATGCTGTTGTAAATCTTACCTTATCTTAATCTGTTAATAAAATTAATTATTTTATTATAATTTTGTTTTAAATGGTCTGGATTCATTAATAAAATGCCTTTCTATCAAGATTTTCCAGGGCATTTTAGAGCGAGATAAAGAGATGTCCATAAATATATCTGGCACTCAAGGAGCTCAACTTGACTTGCTGGTGGAAAGCATGGGTAGAGTTAACTTTGGACGATATAACAATGACTTCAAGGTATGTCCGTCTCTTTTTATGTGTTATCAGATTTACTTTTGCGTGTACCTAACCTTTAAATATAATTTCTCTCCCGTTCATTGAAGGACACAGGGAACAGATCAGAGATCCTGTACTGTAGGGTAATATCGCCACCTGCAGGAGAAGGACGCTAGGCACAAAACTAAAGACCAATTACAGCCTAGGGGCGGCCCCTGCCAGTGGCCAAAACCCCCCCACCTGCTGACAAGTCTACAGTTTTTTGCCTAGCGTCAGGAGTAAGGAGCTAAGAATTTTTTTCGGGTATTCTTACCTACTTCTTCCTGATCTTTTTCAGTGGAATCTTCTAGCAAGTGTTGTCCGGGCGACAGGCTGGATGTCCCGGATCCTTGGAGTCTCCCCGGGACGACCGACGATCGCATGCAGGCCCGCTCCGGTGGGTCGGCTGCGACGATCCCGCTCTGGCGGGGTGGTCTATGGGTTCGTCCCAGGGGGGTGCATATGACTGGGGGTCTCGAGATCTCCGATCTGTTCTCTGTGTCCTTCAATGAACGGGAGAGAAAATAGGATTTTGGTACTCACCGTAAAATCCTTTTCTCTCCGTTCATTGAAGGACACAGGGCCCGCCCCTCTATATGGGTGTGTACTCCTTTACTGCTTGTTACTAAACTGGAGACTTGTCAGCAGGTGGGGGGTTTTGGCCACCGGCAGGGGCCGCCCCTAGGCTGTAATTGGTCTTTAGTTTTGTGCCTAGCGTCCTTCTCCTGCAGGTGGCGATATTACCCTACAGTACAGGATCTCCGATCTGTTCCCTGTGTCCTTCAATGAACGGAGAGAAAAGGATTTTACGGTGAGTACCAAAATCCTATTTTTCTTTCGAAATACTCAAAATGTTCATAAGTTCTATTTCAAGAAGATATTTTAGAAGTTGAAAAGGAAGAGATTGTGGACATGCTTATCTGATTTTACACATGATAAAGAACCAGGAGAGATAGAAATATAATAGTATTTTTTATTGAGGTGAAAAGGTGAAACTCGAATAATTAGAATATCATGCAAAGTTCATTTATTTCACTAATGCAACTTAAAAGGTGAAACTAATATATGAGATAGACTCATTACATGCAAAGCAAGATAGTTCAAGCCGTGATTTGTCATAATTGTGATGATTATGGCTTACAGCTCATGAAAACCCCAAGAACCCCAAAGCCACAACCTCAAAAAAGTAGATTATTACATGCAATCAATAAAACAAGGATTGTACATAGAACAATATCGGACCTCTGAAAAGTACAAGCATGCATATGTACTCAGTACTTGGTTTGGACCCCTTTTGCAGCACTTACTGCAATTACTTTTGCACGATATTCTAATTATTTGAGTTTCACCGGTATGTATTACTTTATAAGCCTGAACCAGATTTGGGTAAGGTGCAAAATGTATTTAATTTACAAGCTTGTATGCACCACCAATCTTCATAAAGATTGGCAGAGATGTTAGTAAGAATATGTTCAATATAGCCAATTTGCTATTTTTCCTGAGATCAGTTGATCAGTGGTATCTAATCTGTGGTCATCTGCAGACTTGTGTCAAATTATTTCATGTCTATGAGCAGTTTGAGGCTCATCCAGGCTTGAAAGATGCATTATTAAATCAGTAAAAACAGGAACTATTTTGAAATCCCAAACCTTGCAATTTAGTTGTATACACATTAACAGAATGAGGCTGACCTCATGTGGGGTAACTCTTAGGTCCATCTACAGGTGAACAAGATACAGCTTGTTTCCATTAGTGGCTTTTTTTTTTACAAGTGAAACATGTATTGCTGGTAACATGCATAAAGAAACAAATGTTAATATAAAAAAAGCAAAAAGTACACCTGACATCTGCTATCAAAATCACATTAGTGATGTAATGTTCAATGATGCAAAAATAAGGGAAGCAGCAGTATTGCAAAGCCCATAAGCTGCAACTTAATCTTTTGGTAGAATTTCAGTACCTGACCCCTTGGGGGCATTACAATCAGTAACTCACCCTACAGTATCTATCTTACCTTATCCCTTAAATTTAATAGGACACAAGACCAAATTAATGCTTTGTGAGTGACAGATATGTCTGCAGTGTTTCCCCCCTTCTCCCTACATAGTCCCTTAGATGGACATGCGGATTTAATGATGCACCAGTCAACACAGATGTCTGAGGAGGGTCAGGTCATGCGCCATGTCTGACTGCCCTCTAGAGACTATGGCCAGCTTTGCTGTCTCATGAACACTAGCCTGGTCTTCTGTAGAACAACTGTGAGCTTTGTCACTGTACTATAGAGGCATCTATTTGAAATTACATAACATTAGCTAATTGGAACATTTTTATTCTAATGTGATGAAGATCAGCTCCAGACAACATGTAACATTAGTCAGCTAAATACATATACTGTCCAAAATAAGTCAAGTATTCCAGTAAGTTTCCTCTAATATGAGATGCATAGAGAATGTGTAATGGTTTTGTATATATTTTCTTTCTTTACTGATTATTGTCAGGAATATTTTTTTTTTATTCAGCAAAATAAGGAATATTGCTACAATTAGTGCATCTACATTATAACTATGAATGAATACTGGCTTCTCATAAATCTAGTCTCTCTAAATTTGATAAGCTCTGGAGACCATGGGCCATGTGGTATCCAACCTATCTGAATAGACAATGACCCTTTACACCCTGTATATCGGCATCGCACTGAACATGTTTTTTTTATTTTTTTTGCTATATGCTCCCTCATCTGTACTTACCTTAACCCTTTTTATTTTCCTTACTATTATGTTAAATTTTGTACTTACAAATAATATGCACACGTTTATTTGTATACCTTCGGAAAAATCCAATAAAAATCTATTTGTTAAAAAAAAAATAAGGAATATTGAATATAAATAATTTTAATTAATAAACCTCCTCCAGATGGGGCTTTAGTTTTCTTATTACATGTCTTCCAGAAACTGTTTAGAAGTTTTTTGTTTAATGAGCTCCATAGCTGAGGCTGTAGTTTAAAGACATGACACATTGAATTTCTAATTCCAATGACTTATCCATTTTTACAGGACTCATTCCAATAGAGCCAGTGTTTTGATACAGGCTGGTTCTGCTGTGCTGTCTCTTTAGTTAACCCGTAGTGCTCTGGAAATCCCTTGCCATGTAAGAAATGTTTGTCATGCAAAGATTATATCCATATAGTAAAACAAACAGATGTAAAACTATAAAACACCAGTTTAAAAATGTAAATCCGATGTGAAAGAGAGATCTTGCTGCTGGAATCTCCAAGAGATATAAGAAAGGAATGACTTAGCCCAGCAGACCATCTACAATCATCGCTTTTGGGTGGAATGACCCTGTAAATCATAAGCGAGCTGATGAAGCCAGCAGTGCTAGATGACTGGAGCCTGGAAGCATTGCATTGCTGGCTGCAACACAGGGAGATCAGAAAGTTCAGTTTTGTACAGGAAATATCAGGTTGCATATTACAACCTTCTAAATGACTTTTATTCATCGCCTGCTGATACTTTCATCTACTTATCTAGATAAAATCATTGAGGAACTAACCTTGGCTTTCTGCTCTGCTTCTCAGGGAATCACGTTTGATGACTTTAGATCCTTCTTCCAGTTTCTAAACAATCTAGAAGATTTTGCCATTGCAATGCAAATGTACAACTTTGCAAGTCGATCGATCGGCCAAGGTGAGCGACAGTGACATTACCTATAAGAAAAAAATCACGATGTGTGCCTGTTCTGTTTCTGCTTAGGTCAGCTGCTTGTAATGTAATCTGTTGCTGTCTGTCAGACAAACAAAAAAGTGCAAAGTTGCAAATAAGGGAAACAGGTCAAAAAGTAAAAAGAACGGTGTCAGAAATTGGAAAGTAAAATATTCATACATATGATGAACTCAGTTTTCCTATCAAATGTACAAATAGAACATGTTGTATAGGTAACCTGCAGATGGGTGCATGCCTACCTATTAAGGAAAATGCTCTGGAAAGTTTTCAATGGCAGGTAACCACATAAAAGTTAATGAGCATCTTTTCTTCCCTTTGATAGGACCACTGAGCTCGCCAATACATAGCATAGCATTGTTCACAAGAATGAGAATGTTCTGCTATGACACAGCTTGTAGCAGTACCGTGAAATTAAAACGACCCTGACGCCATAGAAAAGCATTCAAACTAGAGGTGCACCGAAATGGACATTTTAAAACCGAAACGAAACCGAAATAAAAAAAATTGTCAGGCCGAAACCGATACCGAAAATTTGTTTTTTTAAATTGTTTTAAAATATTTTATTTATTTTTATGAACTTTTTAATTTTTTATATTTATTTATTTTTATTTATTCATTCATTTTTTATTAAATATGTTTATTTTTTACATTACTTTTAGGGGCTTTTGGCATATATTGGGGGTCCAAACCGACCTCTGATATTTCCCTTTTAAAATAGAAAAAGAGATTGAGAACACAAAGTCCTCTATCTCCTTTCTGTATCGCCTGTTATCAATGAACAGGAATCCTCTATGAGTGTTCCTGTTCATTGATAACTTGAGAATATATATGTTTAGTATAACCACAACTATGAATGAACAGAAGGTGATGTAGATCACTTCCCATTCATAATTGAGGATATAGTTAACATACCATGTCCTCAATTATCTACAAACACTCAGTGATCACTGATCGCCGAGTATGATGGGCGGCTGAGCGGTGTGGGAGGAGACGTTGGACACTCACTGCGCTCTCCTCCCGCAGCGCTCGGCCGGCTATCACAGTTTCTCTCCTCCCGGCTGGGACATAGAGCAGCGCCCAGCGAGGAGGAAAGAAATCAGGGAATGCGCCGATCTATCGACAGGAAAATGGCACTTTCGTCATTATGCCAAAAGTGCCATTTTCGACCGATATGTTTCGGCGGCCGATATATCGGTGAATCCCTAATTAAAACCCATCCATACTTGGTAAAGAAGACAGGGCATACTTATCTTTCCCTCTGCCGCTGAATTCCTCTACAAAGCTTTGAAAACTGCTGAAGTCCAGAGGGGAAACCAGTTGTGTTGATCTCCTGGGTCCCCCAAAGCTCTTACTGGTTCTCTCCTCTGAATTCCCCCATTACAGGCAAATGTTGACCCTTTGTAGTCTCACCACAACTGGGGGGCTGGAGTTTACCTATCCCTGCATTACAAATACACTAGTGATGTTGCGGTCAGAAGGTATGTTCTGTCTTCTTTTACATGTGTGTGGGATGAGGAACGTCTTAAGTGAAGAGTAATTTGTAGAAAGAGGTTTTTATTTGTAATAGGTGGAAAGAAAAAAGCCAACACGTCTCTGGGGATTACGTCTCCCCTTTTTCTGGGCTTTTAGTGAAAACATCAGGTGATGTTGTGGAACCAATCTGAAGGCTGTTTCAGGTCTGTTGGCTGTAACAAAATGTTACAGCCAACAGTTGCATCAGTGTGGGAAACCTATAGGTGTAAAGGTGAAACTCGAATAATTAGAATATCATGCAAAGTTCATTTATTTCACTAATGCAACTTAAAAGGTGAAACTAATATATGAGATAGACTCATTACATGCAAAGCAAGATAGTTCAAGCCGTGATTTGTCATAATTGTGATGATTATGGCTTACAGCTCATGAAAACCCCAAGAACCCCAAAGCCACAACCTCAAAAAAGTAGATTATTACATGCAATCAATAAAACAAGGATTGTACATAGAACAATATCGGACCTCTGAAAAGTACAAGCATGCATATGTACTCAGTACTTGGTTTGGACCCCTTTTGCAGCACTTACTGCAATTACTTTTGCACGATATTCTAATTATTTGAGTTTCACCGGTATGTATTACTTTATAAGCCTGAACCAGATTTGGGTAAGGTGCAAAATGTATTTAATTTACAAGCTTGTATGCACCACCAATCTTCATAAAGATTGGCAGAGATGTTAGTAAGAATATGTTCAATATAGCCAATTTGCTATTTTTCCTGAGATCAGTTGATCAGTGGTATCTAATCTGTGGTCATCTGCAGACTTGTGTCAAATTATTTCATGTCTATGAGCAGTTTGAGGCTCATCCAGGCTTGAAAGATGCATTATTAAATCAGTAAAAACAGGAACTATTTTGAAATCCCAAACCTTGCAATTTAGTTGTATACACATTAACAGAATGAGGCTGACCTCATGTGGGGTAACTCTTAGGTCCATCTACAGGTGAACAAGATACAGCTTGTTTCCATTAGTGGCTTTTTTTTTTTCTAACAGCCCAAAGTTTGGAGTAACATCTCCTGCATTGTTTACAGTGTCCAGTGAGAATCAAGCCAGTTGATCAGAGAATATCTGAATTAGTAGTATTTAAATGAGATCTAGATTTGGGATGAACTTGAATTTGCACCAAATTTTCAAACTGAAAATGTGTGGGTTTCTGTCAAACTTGTGGTTGGCAAATGTTGGGGCTGAATCGTAATGCTTGCTGTGCACCTTTTGACCTTTGATCAGGAGACTCAAACCAGTCAATATGGTGTGGGAGCTGGATAAAGCAGACCCTTACTATAAGAGTGCTGGGAGCTGGTCAGAAAGAGCTTCTTCAATAAGGACAGATTGATGTAGGTGATTTAATAAACTGTGCTTGAGTTGTGTTTATTGCAGTTCTGGAGTGCACTTTTCTTTATGCCACCTTTAATTGTGCCCAAGTGTCATTTCAATGACTAATATCCGTCACCAACAAGTGAGTGATTGCTAGCCAGTTGTTAACCCCTTAGCTTCTGCTGTTTTTTTTCTTCTTTTAATTGGGGTATTTCCTTTTTTTGTTTTCTTTTAGTTTGGGTGCACCAAAAACAGTGTGCACCCAAAGCACGTCACATTAGTACTCCACATTTCTGTACCCCTTATTCCCATATTTCCAATTTTTTATGGCATGGCAGGAACTTGCACAGTCTAATGGCAAGGCAAGCGAGCTTAAAAGCAGAAAACGCAAGCCACAGGGTGATGTTTGAAAAAAACAAAACAGGTGCAGACTTTAAGTTTGAGTGGGCAAAAGTTTACCAGTGTCATCACAATTGGGGAGCAGTAAAAACATGTTTAAGTATGAGAAAAATAAAGATACAGGCAGCCGTCATCCTAAAACCATTACAGCTACAGCCCTTAGGTTTGGTTGGGTAAAAATTGGCTAGTGGCACCAGAGTCTGATGGTAGTGCCAGCATGCCTAAATGCAAAAACACAAGCTGCAGGGATGGTGGGAGCAGATCTGCTTTTTTAGCTTCATGGATCCAGGAGGGTGGCTACCCAATAATGATCCCTTTCATTAGTGAAACCATCTTGTAAAACATTTTTTTCCCACTTTTATATTTGTTAAAACAGTTTGTTTTAATTAAAAACAAAATTCTATGTTCTTTACTACATTTTTGTGTTTTTTAAAAAACATTTTTATTTTATTTAGGGCTTGCTTACCAACCTGACTCTTGATGGAGAAATTCTGGCTAACTGGACACAGTATCCCTTAGATATAGACACTGCAGTAATCAATGGACTTTTGCTGGAAACTTCTTCTATGAAGACATCAAACAGTACATCACCAACATTTTACAAAGGCAGCCTTTTTATTCCCAGTGGCATTCCAGACTTACCCCAGGATACATTCATTAAATTTCCTGGGTGGACAAAGGTAAAGGTTACATTGACTCATGTTCTAATGTCCATGTTACTTCAGTACAGCACCTAGAACTGTTGCAATAAAATACAGTGCATGTAACTGAATAAAATGTAGGAAGCCCTAGTACATCATTTGCAAAATGGTAGACAATGGTGTGGTTATGGTAACCACAACAAAGCACTACCTCTCACCATCCGAGCACATTTCAAAAAAGTTATTTCTTTAGACTTTTATGAAAAATGACATCTGCCTTCGAGGTGCCTCCTCACTTATTTTAATTCCAACCAGTAGATCTGCATTCTCACCAAAGCTATTTTTAAATGCTAAAGATCTTCACACAGAAATGAGCAGCCTAGCACACAAAAATATGGAGTAGCATTACTACAGGATGCTGTTGAAACCCACTCTTAACTTATTATTTAATTTCAAAAAGATAGACTCTTTAAATGAAAGTTGTTTTTTTGTTGAATATGTGGTAAATGTAAGATTTGCTGTGTTTAAATAGGGTGCATATTTTTTTGTTTGTTATGGAAGCACTATTTGCCATTCAAAAACAGATGATGTTAAATGTCAGTGAATGTCAATGACATTGCCACACTTGTATTCCATTGAGAAATAGATGTCCCTTTGCAGCAGTCTTGTAGTTTCTCAATTCGCAGAGTCTGTCAAAGGATCTGTGATTTGATGATGCAGCGGTGTGGGTGGATGCCATTTTCCAAAAATTACAGCAGCCTGCAGGGAGAAAAACCTCACAATTTATGTAAGTGGGGGTGGTGGTGTGATGTGACAATGTTTCTTGTAACACCCTGAATATGGAAAACGAGGTCAGAAAGGTTAACTTAAACAACCTTCTTAACCACCCCCTACAGTCCATCTTTCGCCCGCAACACTACACTGAAAACTGCCCTCCCAAAAATCACGACTTACTAGCTGCTTTAAAAAAATGGTTACTACTCCCTTGGACTCCAAGACTCTTATCTTTCCTGGTTTTTCTCCCATTTGTCTCAGCACACCTTCACTTTCTTCTACAACTTTACCTCCTCTCCCTCTCTCACTAAGGGTCCCCCAGGACAGACATGCTAAATCTTTTGCGTTTAAACTGCATCGGAACGCAGGCAATGTTTTGCCACGCGTCCGATCACACAGCAGGCCGGGGGCGTGGCTGTGGGGCCATTGACTTCAATGCACCGCCACACACCCTCTCGCCCCAGAATGAAAGGGGGAGTTTAGTGTGCGATTAGAGTGCATTCCAGCAGCTGCTGCTCTGGAATGAACTGTAATTGGTGTGAACTGGCCCTTAGGGTAAAGTTCTGCTTTATGAGAAACCAAAAGTGTAGTGCACAATGTTCTTTCAGGTGTCTTAATTTCAAGCATGTTGTATTCAAACATTAAATTAACACCATCAAAGATGCTATAAAAATCCAATAATAACAAAGCAGCAATTATGATGGTTTAATGATTACAAGAAGAATGCTGAAGTTTAAGTGTGTTCCCAAAGGCCATTATTTTGACGCTTCTAATGAGCAGACATTAGTGCTTCTAATATGGTACGGTTTAATTACTTGGAGAGATATAGCAGTATTTGTTTAATTAAAGTGAAACTCCAGCCAAAAAATGAAAAGCACTTGTTTTTATTATGGTAATGTTTCAAGTTATTTGCCATTTCATTGCAATTACACTGTTGATCTTGCCCATTCCCAGTTCAGCAAGTGATCTCTGGTGTTGGGGTGCCCAGCAGCTTCCTCTTCTCATTCACTGCATTCATTATAGGCACATTTAGACCCTCCCCTCGAGTTTCCTCTCTCCTCCTGCCTTTACATCAGTACTGAATGTTTCCGCTGACTGCATACAAATGAAGAAACGCGCAACATGGGGCGGCCCCAGCAGCTACTTCTCTCCTCCCTGCCTTTGCTTCAGCCCCTCTGATCAATCCTGCCCACTACATGCAACGGGTGTCCCATAACATATCTGTGAAGGTCTCATGCAGCTACATTTATTAATAATCTCCAGGCAAAATTAAAAATGTTTTTTTTTCTGTAACGCCGATCACTAAAATCTCATGTAATTTTTAGCTTGTGTCCCAGAACATATCTGTGAAGGTCTCATACAGCTACATTTGCAGTCTGGATTTGCAGTCACATGACTGTACATTTAATACCCTTATTTTTTTAATTTGTGTTTTTTTTAAACTAATTTATAAAGATATAAGATTTAATTTATCTTTTTATTTTATAGGGACAGATTTGGATCAATGGCTTCAATCTGGGTCGCTACTGGCCGGCTAGAGGACCTCAAGTAACATTGTACGTTCCTATGCATATTTTAACAACATCTTCATTAAATAATATCACGGTACTGGAGCTTGAACATTCTCCTTGTGATACTGGAAAATGCACTGTGGAATTTGTGGACAAACCTATACTGTCTAAAAGTAAAACACATTTTAAACAGGAATATTTATTTACAAAGTGACAATCCAAACAAAGGTAACTGTTCTGCTCTAAAGGAAATGTTGTAAAATATGATTTTGGTCACCCCTATATTTTTTTGAGATTCCCAGTGTTGTATCTGGGTTTAGGGGCTTTATACCCAACTGTGAATGTCTTGACAAAGGATTGTAATTTAAATGATTGTTTAAGTGAAACAAATCAAATAATTGTCATGTGATTTTTGCTTTATGCAGATTGTAATCAGGCTCTTAATAAAACATTTAAGATGTCTTTAGTTGATACTACTCTTTTATTGTGGTGCGTACTAAGAATATGGGCATAATGTGGGAATTTGTGAGGAAATTCATGTGATGATACGGGGTCACGGTTTCAGCAATGACGGTGATGCAAGTCACCATTACCTCATGCTAAATTCCAAGGCTAAAATGTAAAGCTCACAAAGGAGTTCACTTTGGAACCAAAGGGTTTTTTATGAGGCTACATTCAGGTGATTGGACACAGACAAATCAAAGCTGTAAGGGCAGCCCAGTCGGCCCTAGTTTTTTACTAGTGTCCTTCGGTGGAAGCCTTCTCTCTGATCGGAGAGAAGCATATCCTTTTCTGCAAAGATTCTTCCAACAGGTTTTCCCTAAACTGCTCACAGCCAATGCACTGCCTCTCAGCAGTTACCCAGATCGTTTTTCCCCCTCTGCTGAGCCTTGGTACCCAGATCCCTCCAAAAAGAATGTGAGGCTAGCCGGTAATGAACTCCGGGTACTGGATCCTACATGGGGCACTGACCTTGGTACTTGGTGCAGCACATGCGGTTGCTGCAGGGTGCTGTGCGAGTCGTGGTCCATATTGGTGGAGCCTTGTTCCTGAAGAACCTTTGGGGGGGGTATGCCCGCAGGGAGGAGAAGATTGGATAGGGCATGTCCCCCTTTTAATTGCTGTGGTTCGTCTGGTCACAGCTGCACTAAATTGCAAGTAAGCCAGGGCCCAGTCCCCGCAAAAAGATTTCCAGTTTAGCAGCCCCTTGTCTTTGTAAGGGTTAACATGGGGCTTGTGCTGCTGCCCTTTACTTCTGTAATGGATACATTTTATAGGAAAATTATCTGACCTACTTTAGTCCTCAGACAATAGAGGGCACAACTGGGTCCTTTCTCCTTCCCCCTTAGTGTCCCCCTCTGACTTTCTTCTGCTTTTGCACTTACCGAGGAAGAATCGAGGATCACCCTGAAGATGAAATAAATAAGCTGTCCCCATCCCAGCCTTCTCTTGTTTAAACAAGACTTTAATAGTCCCTGTAGAGACTGTCACTGTTTTCAAGGACCACGTGGCAGGCTTTGTTTGCCCTTGCAGACCTTGCTGTGTAACCTGCTGTTCCCATCATGGTGGTACATTGGACCTTATCTTTGTGGTAGAAATCTGTGGCTAGGGACTCTGGGTCTTCTTATCTCATGAAGTCCAAGCCCCAAATAGCAAAATCCTCTGCTCCCTTCTTTAAAAAAAAAGTTCCCTTCATCTCTCCCAGGCCTCAGGTTCCAAGCCAGACTCTGTTTCATTTTAAATCCAGGCTCACAAAATTTGGTAACAAGCCTTCTTCACAATGAAAGGGCACCTCCTTTTTTATTAGCAGGAGCATGTTCTCGACATTTCTGATGCCTGTGTCCAGAGCTTTGTAACCAAGGGTTACAAACAGGGATGTTGCTCCATGCCTCCATCTCGTGTCCTGCTGTGATTTTAGTCAAGATCTCCTCAAAGATTAACATGTTTTCGCTGCCCTAGATCAGTTCCTGTTGACTGTCCCCAAAACAAAGTGGGGGTCCGCCCTATTCTCAATCTGAAGATTCTAAACAATTTCCTGCAAGTCCAAAACTTCTGTTTGGAATCTACCCACTCATCACATCCCTTCACCCTGGAGATTCTTTGGCCTCTGTGGACATGAAGGATGCATATTTGCACATCCCAATTTGTTCTGCCCCTCAATACTACCTGGATTTTGCTGTTGACACGCAACACTACTTCCATTTAGTCTGTCAAGCATTGCAGTGTTCCCCTTGTTAGATTTTATTATCCTTTCTTAAACATATAATAAAGGACACAGAATGAAGTATTCAGGTACATTGTGTTATACTGCTTCAGGAGACTGAACAATGGCAAAACAAATCTGTAAGGACAGCCCAGTATAACCACTCCTACTCCCAGGGTGTTTGTTTGCTAGTGTCCATGGAAGAGCTGACATCTTCTCTCCTCTGAAAAAGGAACGTCCTTTCTTATTGTTTTTTGTTTTTAAAATTTTTATAGAAATTTAACTACAGCAAAACAGATAAGATTGTCAACAACTATTTTCAAACATGCAAACATTGGAGTATTGAGGTATAAAGGAGGCAATCTTAGTGGGGAACATGTACCATCGGAGGATAACCTTTATAGTAGATTTCAAGCACATTGGCGTTGCGTGAACAAGATCTGGTGTTAGCTCAATATATTCTTGAATAGCTGAGATGAAATGAGGGCGGGAGTTAGGGTCATTAAGAAAGGAATCGCTAAGCGTCCAAGAAGGTGTAGCATGATGGGGAGTAAAATCATAAAGAAAAAGGGAAACGGAATGGCCAGACCAGGGAATTGGGAGTACATGAGAGTGAGAGATGGAGGGAATCAGAGAATGGGAACAAAGATATGGTCTATCCTAGAGAATATATCATGGGGATGGGAATAGTGGGTATATTCCAATTTTGAAGGGTTGTTTTCTCACCAACAATCAATGAGAGAGTAATGCGAGAGAAGATTTCTAAAGATTGACGAAGATTGCATGGAAGTGGCTGAGTCTTGGGATCTGTCCCTATGAGGGAAAAGGCTGAGATGAGAGTTGCCACATAAAATGGTTGTGCCAATAGAATGTGAACGAATGGCGGACAAAAGATGAGTGAAAAAAGGTGTTTGTTTACTGTTGGGTGCATAATAAGATACCAGGGTAATTTCTGTATCGTGGAGAAGGCCTGTTAAGATGAAGTATCTGCCAGCTGGGTCACGGACAGAATTGCACTCAAAATTGAGAGATCTTCTTAGACCTATGAGCACACCCCTGCATTTAGAGGGTCCATTGGCCATAAAAACAATAGGGAATTGAAAAATGCGTCTCCTGAAGGCACACAATGTCGGCATGTAAAGTCTGGAAAAATCGAAATGCGCGCGCCGTTTGTTTGGGGAATTGAGGCTAAGTATTTTTAGAGGCATGATTAAAATCAAGAGAAATAGCTAGGGAGGAGAGGATCTTGTAGGGCAGGATGACTTTTGAAAAAATTTAAAAAAACATCCCACCCATGGCCAGCAGAGCAAGAGAGTGAAGAATATAGTGAGGAAGAGTAAGAGGGAGAAGGGAAGTAAAGAGAACCAGAACAGGTAGACAATGGGCCAACCCTGCTAACAAACATTATTACCCCATTGTCTACAGGGGCGTAGATTAGGGGGGTTCAACCCCCCTCCCCCCCTCCCCAGAGTGTCCTGGCAGTGGCTAGCGAGGGGAGAGCAGAGGGGGGCACGTACTCTTGGCCGTTTAACAGCGTTCTGAAGAAATGAAAAAAACTTTGCACAGCCCAGCAGAGACCCCACCAGAGACTCCACACAGCCCACCAGAGACTCCACACAGCCCACCAGAGACCCCCCCAGTCCACCAGAGACCCCCCCAGTCCACCAGAGACCCCACCAGGCCACCAGAGACCCCACCAGGCCACCAGAGACTCCGCACAGCCCACCAGAGACCCCACCAGGCCACCTGAGACCCCACCAGGCCAAAAAAAAATTATCTACGGCCCTGATTATCTACCTGTTCTGGTTTCCCCCTGAGCATTGTCCCCTTGCTAATATAAAAAAAAAAGAGGTTGTAGAGAAAGGAGAAAATAATTATCCCAAACCATCCAAATAGATGGTTTGCCTGGTCACTCCCCCAGGCATACCTGAATAGGTGGTAAGACATTCATAACATAAATATTGCATAGGGGGACATTGGGTATTGCAGTGGAAATCGGAATCACATTAACTGTTAAGTCATATTTAGATGTTAACAGAAGAGAGAGAGAGAGAATCAAACATAGGAATAAAAGCAAATTGTTTGGAACAACTGTAAGCAGTTAGTGACGATCCAATAAAGCATAAGTGGGGCACAGTAACAGGTAGGTTAAAATTTCGCCAAAAGTAGGGATTATAAAGAGGGATTAGTGATAACCATTAATACATTGTTACAATGTTTAAGGCACTTGGGACAAGTTTTGGTCACAGGTTTGAGATTTAGGGGCCTAGCGTTAGTGAGTAGTATAGATATAACAATAGTAAGTTGTAGTATGGGTGGGGGGAATTAAAGTAGAGAGGGAATATTTTAACCGCGCGTTAAATATTGACAATAGCTCCATTGTGGAAAGAGGGGATATGCTTATATAGATGCAGATGTAATCGTAAGAGGTATGTGTATATGTGTGCGAAGATCGACATGCATATATACTGCAAAACATAAGGCTATACTGTTACAAAGCAAATGTGACATTCTGAGAGGGCAAAGCAGTGAAATCACAACATAAGGTGACTACTTCCGGGTCTCATGAGGTCAAGTTCCATCAGGAGGCCGATCAGTGCAGCATAGAAACGCACAGAATCGGGAGGACACAAAACGTCCATTGAGACAGCAAGCAGCTGGTAGGATAACAACATCAATAATGCTTTGAAAGAGACTGTCGCAGATTGCAATGGAAGAAATCAGCGTGCTGGCAACAGGTCACCTGGGGTGCCAACTCTTAATTGGAGCCATCTTGGGTGCAGGGCTACGAGGGTCAACGGGTCTGGCAGGGTTGGAGTCACTTGGGGATCTTTTCGAGGTAGTGGAGGATATTAGGTGTTGGAGGATATTGGGAGGTTGGCGGATCTTTGTCCGAGAGCCCGAACAATGTTGACCTGGTTTGGGTTTCATCCAGCGAGGAGAAGGTGAGGTAAAGTCCCCTTTTGAAAGGCTGTAGGGGAGCGGTAAGTACTATTTAAAGCCCTTCCATGTGCACCTTGCTTTAAA